GAAAAAAAAAAAAAAAGTTCTTAAATTTATGTTTCTTCACCTTCATGTTATTCTTTCCAGTCTAGTATTTACACTTACCGCCTTCCAAATGATACGTTGCCACATGTTTTTTAAGATATTATCAATTTTTTGTCATCCTTGAATTATGGTGTTTGTAGTCATGTTGTTAGAGCAAATAATGTAATTGCTCATGAGCTAGCTAAATGGGCTTTAGGGGCGTCTGACTCGTTTCTTTGGACGGATTCTATGTCGTCTTTTTTTTCTTCCTTTTTTCGGGATCTATCAATTCCTTGACATTGGTTGAATGAATCTCTAGATATTTTACTTGCAAAAAAAAAAATATTCATATTTTTTCAAAGAATATATACTTTTTAAACTAGAATATCATATTTTTTAATAACTACTCACACAATAAAAATATGCATTTTATAAATACTCAATGAGTCGTCTAAAGATTAAACTAGACTCACACTTAGAGTGTATTTAGTATGCACCATAAATTAGTTTGTAGCTTATTTAGTTAGTTTACAAGTTTTCTTTATCCAAATAAGTTTGATTTGGTATGACAAGTTATTTTAAAAACTCGAGTTTATCTTCTAATTTTCATTGGGTAGCTTTTCAAATAAGCTCGTTGAATTTTTTATTTCAGCTAGTTTATCAGCTAATTTCACCAAACATTTTTACCATATAAGCTAACTTTCCAGCAATAAGTTATAAGCTATCAACTATAAGCTCGAAATTCACTTATGTTATGTTTGGTAAAATTAGTTGATAGCTTATAAGTGAATTTCGAACTTACAGCTGATAGTTTATGGCTTATGGCTGAAATTTTAGTTGATAGGATGAAAGTGTTTGGTAAAATAAGCTGATAAGCCAATTGAAGTAAAAAAATTTAACAGGCTTATTTGGAAAGCTATTCGAAAAAGCTTATAAGATAAGCTGAAACTTTTTAAAAAGGTTCGTCCTACTAAAAAACTTATAAGCTAACCAAATAATCTATGAACTAACTTATATGCTTGGATGCTTGCAAATGACACTCTTATAAGGTATCAGCTAATTTATTAGCTAGATTTACCAAACATAACCTTAAATTTGTTATTGTAAATTAGGCGCAGCTATGATTTTTTTTACCTGAGGCTGCTTAACATTGAGTTATTATTCAAATCAAACTATTTGCGAACACAATTCAATTCGTCTCATGAAATATCAAACTCAACTCGTTCATACCCTTCAGAAAGCTAAGCTCGAATATGTAATTGAGTTTGTTTCTTAAATAATCATGAGTTTGAACATAAGATATCTAACTTGGCTCGACTCGAATGACATTTCTAGCTAGACGCCAAGCATAAAGAGATCAAAGTATGAAAATAATTCTCTTAAATACTCGATACAATTTACATGAATTACAAAGTTAAATGAATGAAAATATATTAAAAAAAATCATTGAATGTTAAAACTATATTATGAAAATCCATTAATTCAATCACATAATAAATGTTCTATTGAAATTCTAAAAGAAACTAATTATATAAAATTAAAATATAAAGTAAATGATACATTTCAAATGCAATGAAATATGAATTACGTGAATAACTAATATTGTCTTGAATAAAATGATTCAATCTCGAATAAAATGATTCAATATGACTTTCATTTAAGCAAAATGAAAAAGAAAATATTAAGAAGAAAAACAACATGTTAAACTATAAACAAAAGTATATAGAGACAAAACAATGTTCAAATATGCAATTCTTCACCTATACACATTTAAATTGCATATCTCAAGTGTTTACTTCATCAAACAAGTTGTGTGCATGAATCCAAACTAAGTTTATTTGAACTTTTCATCACAAAACAATACATATTAGCTCTTGATGATTACATAACATAGGAGATATCTTCATAGCTCCATTAAAACAAACATTACTTGACAATTGTTACAAAATTGTAAAATAAAATTAAGCTCAATACCGTGCATGGATTGACTTGAGTATCGGAGCCTTTTCCACCGGGACTCCTCCCGACATTTTACAAGTCATCGACGAATCGGTCTGTGCTCATGGATGCGTAACAAATACGACTAGTAATGATTCATGTCCAATAAAGTATCTGTATTATGTAAAATGAAATTACATGCGTATTTATGAGACTCGCCCCACACTTTATTTATTCTATTCTTTTTTTTTTCCTTAAAATGTAAGACAGATCTATTCTTTTTGTTTTTTTAATCAGGGATTGACGATTAGTGCAGCTTAAAAAATTGACTGCGTAACACTTATCCCGGTTCTTTTTCGATGACGCGTTTGTTTTGTAATCCGGTGTAATATTGCCATCAAAATTCGCAGCACCTTATCCCTAACGAATAAAAATTGATGAACATTTTTGGTGGCATGTAAAAATTTTATGTGAATAACATATGTTAGGTAGAATTTTGTAAGACATGGTTTCATACTGGGAAATAATCGTGCCAAATAATGATGTGATCGTCTAGAGTGGGTCCGGATTGACTTAGACGATGACTCTTCGACCCTTTCTACCACACGGTTCAGAAAGACTTCCAGCGTAAATGCTCCAACGATTAAGAAATGAAATTGAAGATCATCAAATTGTTGTTCAACAAATTCACTATTTTTTTCTTCATTGATTTCCGAATAAGGAATATGTCGATTCAACATGTCCAACCGGTTCAAGAAACAATTTCAACATGTTTGTATTATATAAAAATTTGTGTCAATCATTTATGTTAATGCACCATCATTTATGTTAATGCACCATGTTCATTCTCAACATATCCAAAAATAAAATACAAGTTGCATCAAATCAAAGAAAGTGTGCATATAAGAATGGCTTACTCAATAATAATGGCTGTGTTGAGGCATATATGTGGATAACATGAATTGAGTAAAGAAATAAATGAAGAAGCCTTCCTGAATAATAGAAAATAATTTCTTGAACATTTGTTCACTGAGAAGTGCAATTAGCTAGGTTGAATGTACTTCAGAGGTTTGATACTTCAGAGTTCAAACCATTTGTTCTCAAGTATACGGCTCAACAAGCATACAACTTGAACACTAAATCATGCACATGCAAATCAATAGCTCCCTGAACAGAAGAAGTAATAGCTCATAACAAAAACAAAACTAAACCATGGGCCATTTTTAATAAGAGAACTCGTCTAACCAAATAGCGTATACAAGCTAATGCTCGAAGCACGAAAGAAAAATTGCATGTCAAAACAACCTCAAACAGCTCAAAATAGTAACAGAACAGAACATCACCTGTCCCATGTCCTTCGTACAAAGCTAACAACATTTTTCAAGATTTTGGAAAAACATTATTTCAACGCTTGCCACCACCACCTCCAAGCTTGGGACCCTTGGGCATGGCAGCCTTTGACACATTTCCCTTTCCACTCTTCTGCTTGGACACCAACTCAGCCTTCTTTGCCTTCTTCTCGTCCTTGGTTTTCTTGATCCTCTCCTTGATTTCACTGAGATTCAATACATTAATCAATTAATTGCCTTTCATGATCCGAAAAATAAAAAAAGCTAACTTTTTCTTATAAATAAACAAATAAATAAATAACACACCGCAAAGCAGCTTCACGAGCAGCATCACGGACCTCAGGCTTCTCAGTTCTTCTCTTCTGGATGACTTCCAATGTGGCGCCAACAATGGACCTTGAGTAAGGCTTCTTGGTCGCTCTGCGCCTCTTCTTCACAGCTTCAGCAGCAATGTCCTAACTCGTAAATCAAGAATGGATTTTTAGAAAAAAACGAGATTCACAAAAAGGAAATCAATAGATGTGGGGAACAAACAATTAAAAGGTATATCAAGATGTTTTTACCTTCTTATGCTGCTTGCGGTACATAGCAGTCCAAGTAAGCTTTGCTGGCCTCAGGCGGTTGTGGAAGTATCTCTTGCATTTTGAGTTGGCGAAGAGGAAAACCTTAAACAAAAAATGCCGCACATGGAACAAGTGTTAAAAAGTAGTGTTCATGCTTCTTTTTAAACAGATATTATGTGAGGAAACTACCAACAGTAAGGACATTCTCCCTTAAACCCACCTGGGAGTCAGATCTAATGAATCTAATGCCTTTCCCAGGGTAGATCTTGGCACCACTAAAACGGCAAAGCTCGGTCCTGAAAACCCAACATCAACAGTAAATAAAACATTAGCTTCAATGAATTGTAAGAAGCTCTGAGTTAGGATACCAGACAATCCAGACACTGCAGTACATAAGAAACAAGGAGCTAACAATTTTTAGGAACTGTAACTTGGGATAACAATCAATGGCAACAGTAAACCAAACTCTATCAAGGTTCTATTACTCAAAAGTGAACAGGAGCAGCCCAATCAAAACACGATCAAGGCTTCTAAGTGAACCCTTATGGTCCAAGACCAAAACCCAGGGCACTATATTCACTTCAACCGTATCAATGGCCTTAGATACAAACATCGCACTTATCAATTGCAGCGGAAAATTGGGACGAAAAAAGACAACAATTGAAATACCAAAAATCCAAGAACAAAAGAACATCTAGCCAGAGGCTCTGTGAGTGATGGTAGATTCATTAAAATCAGTGTCAAATCAGAAAATCAAATGTCTCACTAACAAGAACAATCTTACGAATCAGAATGGATCTTCGAAGGAACACTATCATAAAGCCTTGTGCAAGCTAAGGAACTAAATTGAATGATCGAATGAGAAGAGCTTACTTGAGAACCATGGTTGGAGATGTATGTCAGCTAGCTGCGCTTCGTTGTTTTCTGGATTTGCTGAAACCCTAAAACCCCAGTAGAGATATAGTGCTCCACAAATGAAACCCCACGACGTCATATGCCCCTTCGACCTGAGCCCATTTATATTTGGGCTAACTAACAAACAAAACGATTCAAAGCCCACTGTAAGATTATAGCTTCTTTTCCTTTTTTTTTTTTTTTTTTTTGTTTTTTTTTATTTTGTTTGTTTTTTTTTAAACATAACGAAATGTATACAAAGTACAAACAAGCAAACTTCATACAAACAGGGGTTAACAACTTCATACATTTTGATTGTTCTAAAGACGCAAGAGTTTTGGCCTTTTAGAATACTCTTTAAGGAATCATTTCATTTTCCAGTTATTATATGAATAATTTTCAAACCAGAATTAATCACTGGGTTTATTACATAAAGTGAGATTAGTTGTTCCAGTCTAAATTCATGTCAATCAAAATATTCAAACCAATTTTGAAGTGCTCACCACTCATCAGTCATCAGTCATCAGCCATCACCACTATCAACTCCATTGAATTGTTTCATAAACATTAGTTAGTTCTGACTTCATTCAAACAGGATAAATGGATAATTGAGACCATATTACGAGATGTTTTGAAAAATATACAATCTCAGATTCAAATGACAAATCCCACTGAAAAGCATCCAATTGCACTACATAGCTAGATCCACATAGCATGTCTAAATTTCGTCACATAGTTTACAATAGACATTGTCAGTATGCATCCATCCATCGATCATCACCAGACATTAACTCGACTCTCCATAGTAACCCACCAACACTGCATGACAACTCACAAAATGGAAAGCACAAATATAACACTAATGATTCAAGCAGCTTTAGCTGTTTCCCTCGCCAGTCCAAGTTTTGCTAGCAAACCGCACAACTGAAGATACGAACCTACTCCATCACAAATCCTCATGTGGGCAAATCCAGTTTCCTGAATAAAATCATAAAAATAGAGGCCAAGTTATGAAATCATAAAAGAGAAAGATTGGTTTTCAATTTTCATGCTTTTACAATAACTAATCAACTTTCTCTGCTCAAACATTCTTTTACGATCTCAGTAACAATGTAATTTGAAAAAATCAAAACGGCAATATATTTCGTGAAGAAAGTGGCAATTCCACCAAAACCATCTACAGATTAAATACAGTGACCGGGGACTAATACAAAAGTCAAGAAAGAGAGAGCATCCAATGGGGAGAAAAAAAAAAGGAGAAAGAAAGAGTAGAAGATTTAATAGCGGCATTGCCAAACCTTCATGAATTCCAACTTCAAATACTCAGGCATATCGTAATTCTTTATGATACGGAAAAGGGTAGTAATTATATCTGTAGGTGAATAGCCCAAATCATAGAGTTTCTTCAAACCAGCACAAGCGTCGTCAAATTTCCCCTCAATTACTTGGCGCACCATGTTTTTCACATGCAAGGGATGGGGTTGATCACAAACCTGGTGGCCATGAATATTAGAGTTTAGATTGTGAAGAACTGAAAATTAACTATAAGATAATGTTGGTTTTCATGGCCTGTGACCTTGAAGACGTTTTCTTGATTCACAAACCCAAATCCACTGTTTGTGGCCTGCAAGTTATTCAATGCTTGCCTCATATCTCCATCAGCAGTGAAGATGATTGCTTCAAGACCTTCAGGAACATAAGGAACCTACACCAACATGGGGTTGATATAAATGTTATCAGAGCCAGATAATTTTTCGAGCATTTTGAAAGAGGAACTATAGAACATCATGTGCCATCCATTTATGTCATGACACACTCAAATGGCATTAGTTCAAAAGTAGAGAAACAACCAAACTTTGTGCATGGCAGCCTAGGCAAGAATAACTGTGTGTAATAATGTTTATCACTTGGACAAAAGATACCGCATGCAGGAAGATGCTAGAAATTAATGATGACATAAGGTGACAAATCAACAAGAATCTGGGATGAAAAGGGTATTACATTTTCTGCAGCAACCACTACCATGAGACGTCCAAGGATCTCTTGATCAGATAACCTAGCAAACCGGACAAGGGCACATCTACTTTGAATAGGTTCAATAATCTTCGAAGAGGTGTTACAAGCGAGCCCAAAGCGTGTGGAATTAGAATATATTTCCATTGTCCTCCTCAAGGCTTGTTGAGCTCCAGATGTCATGCTGATTTTTATCAAATAAGGCAACATTAGGCACAACGACTACAAGTCAACATATTCAAACAAGTCAGAGAAATACATATGAATAGAGCAGATTCATTTTGTGCATAATAAGTCACATTAAGGCCTAAATGTTAAGGTAGTTCAATAAAAATACAAACTAAAAATAAAATATATAGGTCTTTCATTTACAGAAGGAAGAAAAAAATAATATGACTCACCTGTCAGCCTCATCCAAAATTACTATTTTGTGTCTTCCTGGAGGCAAAGTAACTTTCTTCTGAGCAAACATCTTTATTTTGTTTCTCACAACATCAATACCCCTGTACAAGTGGAAAAGAGAAAACTCTTTTAATAAAGGAACAACATATGTACATAATGAGAGCAGAAAAACTGAGGACATGAGTCTTATACCTATCATCTGATGCATTTAGCTCTAAAACCGCCTCTCTGTAATTTGGTCCCAGAAGTTCATGAGCAAGAGCTAATATGCTGGTAGTCTTACCAGTCCCAGGAGGACCCTGCATAAGCATTAAAATGTGGTTTGTGAGTTGCCATAACTCTTCATAGGACTTTATTCTAATTTCTATCTTTCAAGGTATCAAATTCATCCCCTTATCACCGTCACGGAAATCAAATTTCTTCAAGAGAAAGTGTGGAAAGGTAAGAAAAACACCACCGTCTTTGTTATTTCATGATAACACTACAGGAAAATAAAACAAGTGATATGAAACATCAAGTTTAATTACATGCTGGTCTTAATGCACACTTTTGTGGTAGCATGTCCTAGAATCGATGAATGCATATCATTTTTTAATCAGAAATTTAAGTCACTTATGTTAATACATCATTTAGCAATTAAAACCCACTCAATACGCCAAAATGAGATATGCAGGGCTAAGCAATCATCATTTTTCACACGAACTAAAAGCCTAAGCACCAAAACTTTCCAAGACATAAAAATTGTCACCCCACCATCATCACAACGTATATTCTCATCTAGTTAAGATATATGCTCCTAACAATGAACAAAAATAATACAATAAACTCAAACATCATCAGTTAACACTAAAAGTAGGTGCAAATGCTTCAGGGCACAACACAACTCGGATAAGCAGCTAATTAACAACTCAGTTTCCTCAAAACGAAAAATCACACATCAAAACCCCTACACTCCCCGCCCCACAGTTCAAGTAAAAATTATCTCTACCTTCAGTACCTATATTTCAGTGGACTCTAGACTTCAAAATTCTAACTACACACAACTTGCAGGGGAAATGAACAGAAGAAACATTATAAAATTAAAAAGGTTCAGCTGAAAAATTACTGATAAAATGAGGTTGGGCATGTTTCCGTCACGGGCGATGACTTGGAGCCTGGCGACGGCGTCCTCGTTGCCGACGATATCCGCCACCTTAGTCGGCCGGTACTTCTCCACCCACGGGATCTCGGGGCCTACGGACGAAGAAGATGACGACGACGCCATATGCGGTTCTGGTGAGAGGATTTTTCCTCTGCGAACAAAATGAATTTGGGAGGGCGATTGAAACCCTTGCTGGAAAAGAGGCGGGATTTCTCTTTTTTCGTTTCCTCGGTTTTTACATTTTTTGACCTTTCTTTAATTTTATTTTTATTAACTTTTTATCCCGCAACTTATGCTATTTTTTGTTTCGAGACTTTATCCACCAAATTTTCTCACACTCTGGTTATTTTTTGTTCTAAGGACGGTACCGTAATTAACTAATTCAATTCAAGTAGGATGAGATTAGAACATACAGCATTGCGTTCACATTAAGGACGGTTCACACTTAAATCGATTAATTACGGTACCGTCCCTAGTGTGAACGCAATATTTGAGTTTGTGAAAACTTACACTAATATATTTAAAATTTTAAAAGAATTGTTTTCGAACAATTTTGACTCGACTACTTCACTTAAAATCAATAAAAAATAAAAAATAAAAGTTGCATGCGTACAAATTCGACTAATTAAATAAATGAGTTCATAAAATGTTCGACTTCGGCACATTTAAGTGAATGAGTAAGCCGAAATTTAGCTTTCACGGCCCAAACCAAAATCTGAATCTTAAAACCAGTTTTTTGTATAATTATATTGTTCACTTTTATTAATAGTTAAAATTTTAATATACTCATTATTAAATTTATAATTTTAAATATTATATATATATGTATAATAAATAATATTTTATTTACATTTAGTGCACAAAATTGAATATTATGAAATAATAATATGCAGAAAAGGTCAAAAAAAAGAAAAAAGAAGAGAGAGAGATGGCTAGATGCAACAGAGACGATGCCAAAATTGCAATATCATGGCATGTGTCGCACGCGAGAATAATTACAAATCTATATATATATAATTACTAGCTAATCTCATTTAATAAAACATTAAATAAAAACATTTTCACTTTTCCTCCAAAAGGAGTTACATTTTTTTTATTAATTACTCACTAATCCCACATTTAGAAAGGCTTCTATTAGTTAAACCTAATTAGTTAATAGCTAAATTAAAAAGATTTCTTTTAGTTAATCCCACATTTATGTTTCTTATTCTCATTTATATATATAAACGTGGCAGTCATTATTATTGTGCAAACACTATATATTATTATTTTTTTATTCCACTATGAATTGAATAAGCAATTACAGTTATAAAAAATATTAATAAATGTATTAAATACAAAATAATACAGATCATGTTACATTACGACATAAAAAATAATTTTTATTTTTTTTGTAATTTAATTTCCAACCATACTCCATCATACATATAGCTGCAAAATGATAAGAAATATTAGTTTCATAATTAAAATTAAAATTTAGCTCCCCCAATTGGTAAAACCTTATAAAGTAGTAGTATAGATACATTTAAATGACATATAATTTATAAACTTAGACTACACGCATAATAAGATGAATTAAAAAAATTAATGAATTAAATAAATAAATTATTATTATAGCACAGTCTATATAATTATTATAGCAAAGTCTATATTGTCAATATTATCATTTAAAAAGTTCATTGAAAAAACATATGTATAAAAAAAATCCATATGATCATAATTAATAGTGCAAAATTAACTATCTTTGACTTTCCATTTGATAATAATATTTTATATTACTACTATTCAATAAAATGCATGATTTCTGCAGATTTGATTATCGCAATCAACATTCTGTTTTATAAATTAAAAAGTGTGCTGAATAAATTGTCTCATATTTTTCATTAAAAAAAAAATTGTTGGCCGTGAAAAAAAAATATTATTTCACAATTATAAATATAAATATGGTTACTTTTCATTAAACAATTCCTCTTTAAGAAAAAAGTGGCGGGACAAACTTCTGCATGATTGTACCATCAAAACATATCCAAAACATCAATATTTTAATGCATTAAAAACCATACTTTCAGCAACAGAAATGTCATATTAAACAGAAATTGGCAAAGTCAAATAATGAGGATTGACAAGGCATTGTATGTAATGGCAGATTGTTGCATAATATAGAAATATCAAACATAATTAATAATCAACCAAAGTCAAATCTGTATGAAAAAATCAAAATTAAAAACACAGCAAATTATGTGGAACATTATTGGACACTATACAATATAGAAAGAAACACATTCAACTTTTACCAAGTCATCTGCCTTTATATTAAAAAAATAAAAAAAAAATGATTTTTTGCGTAAAAGTTTTAAAAATAAAAATTCCTATAGATTCTTTTAAACATTAGATAAGAAATTTCTAATATGTGATAAATATATCTAGACAGATTTGTTATAAACTTACCTAATATTTCTAAATTTTGAACAAAATACTAAAAACTTCAAAAAGCGATTTTGAACAAGTGTTAAAAAGCTTCACTTACTGATATGATGAGAAAAACAAGAAAAAATTGAACTATTTAGTGTTCAAAATCTGAACAAAATACATAAAAAGTTACATATGTATGTTATAAGCAGATATGAACAGATATGTCATAAACTTATCTATATATTTGTTAGTAGAGCTGAACAGATCTGTTAGAAACTTACCTATTTTTTCAAACCCAAAACAAAATACATAAAAGTTTGAAAAAGTTCGACCAATGTCATGTTCTCTTCGAAAAACGATTTCGAAAAACATCTAAATAATTTCGAATTATGTAAAAAATATGATATATCTTTGAAGCTTATTCACAAAGAATTTTGAAAAACGACACAGATCATTGAAAATAATAAAAAATAAAAACTACGGTTAGCAAAAAATATTTCAGCTCTTCATAGATTTGTAATATTATCGCCCGATTTTGACCGACCTGTTAAGATTTAGTAACATAGATTAAGAAATCGGGACGAATACTTATTTTTCGATCACTACTGTTGGCCACAAAAACAACATTACTCATGTATATATATATATATATATATATATATATATATATATATATATATATATATATATATATATATATATATATATATATATATATATATATATATATATATATATATATATATATATATATATATATATATATATATATATATATATATATATATATATATATATATATATATATATATATATATATATATATATATATATATATATATATATATATATATATATATATATATATATATATATATATATATATATATATATATATATATATATATATATATATATATATATATATATATATATATATATATATATATATATATATATATATATATATATATATATATATATATATATATATATATATATATATATATATATATATATATATATATATATATATATATATATATATATATATATATATATATATATATATATATATATATATATATATACATATATTTTTAAGCTTTTACCGGGAGAAAATCTCCGATAAAGCATTTGTTTTGTATTGAATCTCGCCGAGTTTGTCGTAAGACCGGGTTAAGGATTAGTATTTCAGACAGAGTGAATAACGAGAGAAACGCCGACATCAAACAAAAAAAATGGCATCACTCTCAAAGAGTTTATCTCTATTTATAGTCATGTTATCATTGACATGTTTTATATTTGGTTTTGGCTACCCTAAAAAATTAAGTGGACTTCTAATTTGAGCTTTTTTTATCATTCAATCAATATATTTATTTATGGCCCAAAAAATTGCCATTTTGTTCAAATGTCTTAAATATTTGGCACATATCGTTATTTATCAACCAAATACAATGATTTATTTTGTAATATTTTGCTGGTTTTTTTTAGTATTTTTTTTTTAAATTTCCTATATGATCTATAGTACAAAATACAATAATTATTTAAAAAAAATAAAACCATTATATGTCTCATTTGAAAATAGTGATTTGTAGTGATGGAGATTCTGTTGATAGAAAAACCACAAACGTTGTATATAAAGAATTGTTTAACAATAGTTACTTATTCTTTCTTAGAACATTTTTCCAATGATTATATTATGATTTTTACTTTGTTTATATAATTTTATTATTCTTTATTCTATTATATTGCTTTTCGTGCAAATGCACGGTTAAAACTAGTAAGAAATAACAGCGCCTTATGCGAAATAATGAAATATACGTGTCCTAAAGGACTAAAATCTAAAAAGCGCACCATTTTTATGGGACTGATTTCACTCTAATCTTCGACTTCCCATTGTGGGAATAAAGAGAAATCCAAACTCCAGTAGGCCGCCGCCTCCGGTTCCGGCAGCAGTTCCGGTCATCTGATGCTTGATCTGGACAGCTTCTGGTCGCAGAACTTATATCTCGCCTGAATCGAGGGGTTTCAATCTTCGCAGTATACACGACAGATGGAGTTATTGCATCCATTCTTTGCTCCAGTGGTGGTGCTTCATATTTAATGGCGCAAATGCATATGTAGAAGGTAAGACACCTAGGTGTTGATACTGATTGGTCATTTGGTCTCATTATTATGTCATTGTACTTGTTTCCCTACCTAATTCCATGAATGGGTCGAACTTTTAACATCAACTGATGAAATCACCTTGCTTAACTGTTATGTTGTTCATCTTTTTAGTTTAGATCTCCATATTATAGGAGCATTTTCAAGCTACTGCATTAATACTGATGTTCATTTGGTTATATAATTGTATTGTGTTCCTTTATTGTTTTTGTGTTTTGTTTATACTTGAGCCCTTTACATAGTGTCAAGATTTGTGGACATGACATTGTTAGCTCTTTTTCTTCGTGTGATGGAATGCGACTAAATTAATATGAGTGGGTTGATTGTACTGTGCGAACTTATTTGATATATGTGATTGGTATTTCAGATTGTATAAACTATAAAGTTTCATTCACATAACCTTTGTCTTTTTTGATAATTCATGGGGTATAAGTGTATATTGTTAATTGTTCCCTCATCTCAAAAAAGTGTAATAGTGGATGCCTAGTTTTCATCTTCTTCTCCCTCGCTTCTTGGATTCAGATTTTGGTTTGTAGGCGATATGCCTAGTGAATGAGGAGTTCTTTAGATGTAATTTTCCCATTTCTTGTTTCCAGAATGACATGTTTAGTCTAGATGCATGGTTGTAGAAAATATGAGAAACTAATACCCATTGGAGGAGACTATATACAGAAAGTCAAGCTTGGTTGGGTAAATGTCATCTACATATACTCCTGTAGATTCTGTGGGGAGAAGTCTTCGGCTCTTCTAATATGATTTTAATGATTTTAGGTGAAATGTTGATGAAATTATGGCCACAATTGTCATGAATGTGCTGTTGGAGATACTCTCAGCCAATAATATTAGGTTTATGCTTGTAATTTTGAAAACTGTTTACACTAATTGAATTGAACAAAATATAATCTTTTAGGTTTGAATTTGTACCCACAATGATCGATGAGTAGCTTCTTATGGACGTGAATTTCTGAATTACATATAAACCTGCTTTTGTTTCTTGTTTTCTTAATTCTTTTCATATTATGACGTGAGAAGCAAAACTTGGAAATTTTTGTTCCACAAGCTGATTTCAGTCCAGCTAACCAGGGAAATATGTTTGCCTTGCTTGAAGGAATCTCCGTATTTTCGAATGCTGCAATCATAATAAACCTTAGGAAAATAGCGTTGTTCTTGAATTACATTATAGCTCCTGAACCATACACAGAACTCCAGTGCTTCCTAAACAACGCATATTTTCCTCCTTAAAAAGAGTAAACTAATGCCACCCCATATGGACATTTGATGCTACATACATCCTGACACCTCGTCATTTACAGTTTTGCTATGAATTCAACAAGGGAACATTCGAGCCACTTCATCTTGTAAATTTATACAGATTCATTGCACATTTTTCTTGTTCACTTCTTCAAGTGAAGAAAAAAAAAAAGCAACAAAAAGAAATCACGACTTCACTGGAAATCCTATTACCGAATCACGTCTCTCTCGAATATCTTGCAGGTATGGGACATTTGAGTTCAACGCCTTCAAAGGACACACAATTCCATTTGCGCCTTCTAGCTTGACCGCAACATTGACCACACCCCATGACCCCTCGACCCATCCTTAGCCCTCAGACGGTAGCTCAAGAAATGAACCGAACCCACCGGCGAAAACCGGCTCACAATGTCGGCTGATGGAATCAAACACCACCCAAGTTGAGTCCGGCCCATCAAAAGATGCTTCGTGTAGAGCTGAAGGTAAACTCCCGGATATCTCTCGTTGACTACGAATTGTTCAAACGGCAGCACAAACTTGTCGCCCCACGTGGGATTCGCGCCTCCTCTTTCATCCACTCTTGTTTTGTACGTTTTAGTGTTTTTATTAATGTTTGTTGTGGCGTTTGAGGTGGAGCTGAGAGTGATGAAGGGCCTTATACGCTTGGAGAAGAGCATTCGAGTTGATTTCTTGATGATGCCTTGAGCTGATATTATAGTGATTTTACAAGTTAAATAGTGTGATTTATATATATTATATTGCAAGGTTCATTTGCACTTGAGGGTGGTTGGTGAGTGTGTATTTTTTTCTCTGATTCACTGTATGTAAAAATAGTCAAAAGAATATATTATCCATAAAGATGAATAGAATTAACTAATATTGAATTGCAGTGGATGATATGACAATTGACGTAGTTATTGAATGGAATTTTATGACCACACGATAGCATACACAACACGACTGCACGCGTGTGTGAATCATATGGGTATGATAAAGTGTTCAGAGGGACATGATCGAATATTTCGGAAAAATTATTTTTTTCTAATTTATTACTAAAATATGTCTAATGTAAATTTATATATTTTACCATTACTCTTTAAGGTTTTACCTCCAATTCTCAAATTAAGATGATGATTATATATAATTTCTGCACCAAAGGAAATGAAAATGATGAAGTGTTGTGTGGTTATAAGAGCTTGATACAAAAACCTTGCGACCCACGTGGTAAAGTTATTTATATAGCTGGGCTATGTGAGAATAGCTGGAACCAACCACGAATGTCCAACTACGCACAAGCCCAACCACATAAGAAATTATATATAATAAAAATATATTTCTTAATACGAATTTATAAATTTAGGGGGAAATTAAATATATACATATATGTTGTCATGGAAATTAGATAGAATCGAAGTTTTGGTCCACCGTACCCCTCTAATTAGAATCTTATGTCTCATTGGATCCCTGTTGGATTTCTTACAAATAATAAAGATGAAATACTGAAGAAAATAATTTTAAGAAAAGTGAAATATTGTTTAAATTGTGAGTGAATGTAAAATAAAAGTATTAATATAAAAAAATGCAGTATTAATGAGTAATAGTTGATAGTTAGACTATGTTTGGTAAAACTAACTGATAAGCTAGCTGATAGCTGATAAGCCAGCTTATAGTTTATCAGTAATTTTTGAGCTTATAGCTTATGACTTATAGCTGAAAAGCTAACTTATATGATAAAAGTGTTTGGTAAAATTAGCTGATAAGCTAGCTGGAATAAAAAAAATTCAACTAACTTATTTGAAAAGCTACCTAAATAAGCTTTTCAAATAACCTCGAGCTTTTTAAAAAAACTCGTTCTACAAAACGAGGCTTATTTGAATATAGGGAGCTTATAAACTAACCAAATAAGCTATAAACTAACTTATTTGTCTACCAAACACAGCCTAAAAAATGGAAAGATATGTTTTATTTTTAAAATATGTTAGTGGAAGTTGATAGAAAAATAAAATAAAATAAAAATAAAAAAGTACTATGTTTAATCACAATTTTAGTAAAATAAAAATATTATTCGACCAACCAAAAATAAATTTTCAAATAAAATAATCTACTAACCAACTGAGTGAAAAATTGCATGTCGGGCCTGATTGGATACAAATATATCCGCTCAAAATTTATTTTTTTGGTAATGATTAATTATTAGTGGAATTTTATGTTTATATTAAAATATTATTTAAAATATAATAATTAAAGTTGAAAGTAAAAAAGAGTTGATGTGAAATGATGATTAATTAAAATTATGTGAATAGATGAATAATGAATTAAAATAAATGTGATGTGAAAGAATGATTTATTCATATTATTTAATTACATTGATAATAGTGAAGATATCGTGATTGAATTAAAGTTGAGTTAAATTTAGAATATGAATTGAGTATATAAATTGAAAAAAAATTGTAAACAAAAATATTTGATTAAATTGTGAACTCGGAATTTTGGGACTTCAAAATAAAATTAAATTGGATGTGGAGTTGCAACTTGCAATGCAATCACGACCAAAATGCAAATACTGTGGTATCTGAGCTTCAGTCTTCATCCTATAATCATATTCATCAGTCATCTCCTCCACATCCCCTATTTTTTACACTTCAAAATCAAATCCCTTAATTAAAGCATTCAATTTGTTTTTCTATTCGTGATTTTTGATTGTAATTACTAATTACTTCAACATGACAAGTCCCGGCGGGCCCAAACAGTAACGGCGGAGCTCCGGCTGACAACACCCCTTATTTCCGGCAAGTTTCCGTCAGGTCCCGGCGATTCAAGCGATGGTGATAGTCAATCCAATGTCCTTTTCCAACATCAGCTCTTTTCTTCCGAAACTATGCCCGCCGCCGAGGTCAGTCACCGGGCCACCGCGAACCACGAGGACGAAAGTATTCGCGGTCCTCTCGGACCCTCACGTTCTCCGGTTGGCGGAGACTCTCGAGGACTCCATCGCCTCCTCCTCCTCTCCGCCGCCGCCTCTCCAGAAACTCCGGGACATCTCATCCCAATCCCTTCTGTCCACGCCCTGGCCTTCGCGGAAGGACGAGCCGTTTAGATTCACAGACACCTCGTTTATTAGGAACTCCGATGTTCAGCCTATTTCCCCTTTATCCACGCAGTCTCTTGCTTCTTTGAGCGGTTTGATTGATACCCTTTCCCCTGGTCTCGCTATTGTCGATGGTTATTTGGTGGATGGTTTGTCACAGCTACCTGAGCTGCCCGATGGGGTGTTTGTGGGAGCTTTATCCAGATTGACTTCAGAGGATGTGATGGAGAAGGTGTCCAAATACGTTTCCAGTTTTCAGGGAGATTTGTTTTGGTCACTCAATGGTGTGGGTGCTCAGGATATGATTATCGTGTACGTGCCTCAGGGCTGTAAGGTTGAGAAACCTCTGCATCTGAAGTTCTTTTCACTGAATGGAAGTGATAAGGATTCAAAAACCCTGCCAGTTTCGAATCCGAGGGTTTTGGCTTTGGTGGAGAGAGGCGGGGAGATTAGTATAGTGGAGGAGTATAGTGGTGGAGATGGGGATGATAAGTGTTATTGGACGAACTCGGTTATGGAAATTGTTATAGGAGATGCAGGGAAGGTCAGCCATTCGTATATTCAGTCACAGTCTTTCGGTGCTGCACATGTTAAGTGGACTTCGGTTCGCCAGGTAGGCTATAGCTTTCTTTCTTCTTCTCGAGGCCCTTATCTTGGTCGATTGTCCAATTCCATATGTGATGTATTTTAATGTGCTTGCCTTTTGATTTATAGTCTGTGCCTTTGCCTGCTTTTGAATGTTATAGACTATGGAGGAAAATGAAATGAAAGAAAAGATTGTTAATTGCAGTCCTATTTCAGGTAGTGATGGTGTCTACACAATCTTTTTGTATGCTCGAGAGGATGAGTTTTCATTTCCATTAGAATTTCACACTCCCAGCTGGATAAGATCATTGTTTCTTTTATCGAATTTGAACACAGTGCACTTATATGCTCTTTTCAATTTTGTCTTGGGTGTTATTGAAGAGGGACACTGTCCTTTTCTGGATATGAGCAATCATTGTTTCTTTGTCTTGAATGTAGTCATGTACTGAATACGCAAGGATAATGGAATCACCATAGTAATGGAATATGTAAGGATAATTTGATATGCGTCTTATTATAATTTATAAAGGCTTTGTTGGCATGATTTAGTGGCACTTTTAGACTTTTAGTGACACAGATGTCAATAGTTGCCTTCGAGAATTCCATTATTCCTATTTGTTAGACACCCATGTATTGATGAGTTTTGTTGTCTGAAGACTTACTTTTATGGTTCATTTGCTTGCTCAATCTAGAACACATTAACAACTTGTATCATATTGGAAGTGTTCTTGTGCTTCATTATGCAAGATTCTGAACTCTTTTATAATAACAGTGCCATTTTGCAACACATTGAAATATCTTTGTCCCTTTGAGAAGTTTGTTATTTTAAATGAGCTGCTAGAATATGCTATTATCTTGATCATGCATGACCGCTTTATTTTGTTCGCATGATATCAATCTCCTCCGATTATGGTTCGTCACAGATTCGCTAATTAAGAATGTAGAACTGCTGCCGCTAGAGTCATGCCTCCAAACTGATTTATCAAATATTATCATTATTTACAGTTCTTATATGTGTTTGATTTTGTAGGAGTCGAAAAGTGTGTATGAGGTCAGTGAAGTAAGCACTGGTGGAAAGTTGAGCAGGCACAATCTCCATGTTCAGCAAGAAGGGTCAGATACTGTAACAGAGTTATCTACATTTCACTTATCAGTCAACGATCAATTACAAGACTTGCATAGTAAACTTGTCTTGGATCATCCACGGGGAGTTTCACGTCAACTTCACAAGTGTATTGTAGCACATTCTCAAGGCCAAGCTGTTTTTGATGGCAATGTTCAAGTCAATAGGTTTTACAAGTTCTTCCTCTCCGTTTTATGCAGAGAATCATCAATTTTGTGTTTCCAATCCTTCATTTTGGTTAGTTGAATCAGACATTGGTAGTAAATTCCTAATCAATCCTTAATTCTTCTGGTTTTGTTAATTGTTATTGCAGAGAAGCTCAGCAAACAGATGCGGGACAGCTCACGAGGAGCCTTCTTTTGTCACCTAGGGCAACGGTCAACGTTAAACCGAACCTCCAAATAATTGCAGATGATGTAAAGTGCTCACACGGAGCTGCCATTAGTGACCTTGAGGAGAATCAGCTTTTCTACTTGCGAGCACGTGGGATTGACTTGGAAGCTGCAAGAAGAGCTCTGATTTTCTCGTTTGCGGCTGAGGTGATCGAGCATTTTCCCGACCCTTCTGTTAGGAAGAAAGTCGAGAGTCTTATAAGGTCGTTGTTCGATGCCACACTCGCTACAAAGTAAGGTCCGATTGTTTTTTTTTTTTTTTTTGTTTTTTTTTTTTGGTGGTGAGCAAAGGTTTAATTGTTATTTTTCAGAGAAATGGTTAATAATACATTTGTTGTTTCCATCCAACTTTATTCTTACAAAGACTAATTGTAATTTACATTGTTTTGGTTTTGGAATTGATAATACATTTGTGCACAAGCTGGAAGATTTCCAGACCAATTGCTGATTGATATTGGTAATGCAAAAATAAATTTCTACCTAAACCAAGTGGACGTGTAATGATTGATTTTTTAAGTCCTGGGAATGGATTTGATAAGTTCTGATAGGGATAATAGTCAAAATTAGAAAGATGAATAAGCTATGAATTGTTCAATTCACTTTCAATTCAAAAATAAATTTCTACCTAAACCAAGTGAACATCTACTTATTTTATAAGCACTTGCTTTCTCTAAGCATAAGATAGGGTATCATGAAAATTGAATGAGAAAGTGAATGTTGTTTAGCTTCTAATCCATATATTATGTTACATGAGCTTTGCTTAAAATAGCACCACCTCCTTTGTTTAGCATAATACTTAATGAATCACTGATGAAAAGGAAAAGAGATAACCCGCGAGCTTCTCAATCTCCACTTCATGAAAGGAAGTGATGTAAATGAATAGAGCCGAAGGCCCGAAGTTGAATGTATGATGCTCGACTTGTTAATATTAATGGACTCAACTCGAGCATTATTAAGTCGAATTGGGATAAAAATTCAAAATATTACATAAGAACCTCTATTGTCGAGCTTTAACAAGTTGTTAACTTAACGAGTTTGAGGCCGATCCACGAGTAATTCATTTCATTCAACAACTCTAAGCAAAACCTTTATTGCGTTTTAGAAAGAAGTTTATTACTTTATTTTGACATAATGCATTAACACTATTAAATATGAAAAATAAAAATTGTTGATTTAGAGATGACTTAACTAAGTATAACAAATTAAANTCTGCTTATATACAATGGCTCACTAAATGAAGATAAGGTTTAAACTTTCAAGAGAAATATCCCCAACAAAGAAGAGAAGAACCCTTTCACTTTCAGCTTGCAATGGATATTTCTAATCTCATCACCATTTTCAAATAAGAAATTCCCCAAAACCCTTTTCACTCTTCTTTTTCTCCAATCCAAATTTCCATGGCGACAAATCTCTCAGCCGCTCTACTCCCATATCACCACCACCACTCAGACGCCACCCACCACCGTCCGCTCCACCTCACCACTCCATACTTTCTTCCCCACGCGAATAAAAGGTTAACCACCGTCCACTGTTCATCCAAGAAAGCAGCGCCTCCGCCGCCGCCCACCGTAGGCGGGGAGCAAAACAGCCCATCCTTAGCCGAACAGCTTAAACCCTTATCCACCACCGTTCTTTCCGACGGACCAAACGAGACCAATCTCTTATCCAATCCCAAATCCACATGGGTTAACCCCACCAAGCCCAAACCGTCCGTACTCTCCCTCCAGCGCCACAAGCGCTCGTCTTCATACACGAACAATCCCCAATTCAAAGACCTCAGGCAGTTTTCATCGAAGCTCAACGAGTGCGATGAATCCGATTTCTTGTCTGTTCTCGAAGGTATCCCTCACCCGCCCACCCGTGAAAATGCGCTTTTGGTGTTAAATAGTTTGCGTTCATGGCAAAAATCCCTTATTTTCCTCAATTGGGTTAAGGCCCAGAATGTCTTCCCCATGGAAACAATCTTTTATAATGTAACAATGAAGTCTTTGAGGCTGGGCAAGCAATTTCAGCACACAGAGGACCTTGCTCTTGAAATGATAGAGAAAGGCATCGAGCTTGACAACATTACGTATTCGACTATAATCACCTGCGCCAAAAAATGCAATCTTTTCGACAAAGCGGCCGATTGGTTCGAGCAGATGTACAAAACCGGGCTCAAGCCCGATGAGGTCACTTATTCGGCCATCCTTGATGTGTATGCAAAGCTCGGTAAAGTTGGGGAGGTTTTGAGTTTATATGAAAGGGCTCGGGCAAGCGGGTGGAAGCCCGACCCATTCGCATTTTCTGTGCTGGCAAAGATGTTTGGCGAGACAGGGGATTATGATGGTATTAACAGTGTCTTGCAAGAAATAAAATCGCTTGGCGTAAAGCCCAATTTAGTCTTGTACAACACTTTGCTAGAGGCTTTAGGCAAAGCCGGGAAGCCCGGGCTAGCCAGGAGTTTGTTCGAGGAGATGTTGGGCTTAGGAATCGAGCCCAACGAGAAGACTTTAACAATATTGATAAAAATTTACGGGCGGGCCAGGTGGGGCCGTGATGCTGTGAAGCTTTGGGAACGTATGAGGACCAACGGTTGGCCTGTGGATTTCATATTGTACAACTCGCTGTTGAGCATGTGCGCCGATCTTGGATTGGTGGACGAGGGAGAAAAGCTCTTTGACGAAATGAAGAAGGCCAAAGGAAAGAGAAAACCCGACAGCTGGAGCTACACGGCTATGATGAGCATATACGGGAGCGCGGGTGATGTCAGCAAGGCCATGGCTCTTTTTCAAGAAATGTCCGATATGGGTTTACAGCTTAACGTCATGGGATGCACTTCTCTAATGCGCTGCCTGGGAAAATCCAAGAAAATCGATGACTTGGTGAGGGTTTTTAACACTTCCGTCGAAAATGGAGTTCGGCCGGACGATAGGCTTTGCGGCTGCTTACTTTCAGTCTTGTCTAATTGCGAGGGTGATGATGATGATGATGCAAATAAGGTCCTTTCTTGTTTAGAGCGAGCAAACCCGAAACTGTTTGCATTCGTGAACCTCTTGTGTGGCGGCGAAGATGAAAGTGTTAACGTTGGTCTCGATAAATTGAAGGACGAGTTCAAAAGCGTGCTTAGCGGCACGGATGTCGAGGCCCGGAGGCCGTTCTGCAACTGCTTAATCGATATTTGCCGAAAAAGGAATCTTCACAGAAGGGCCCACGAGCTTCTTTATCTGGGGACTGTTTACGGATTGTACCAAGGCTTACACACCAAGACTGAAGAAGAGTGGCGGTTGAACGTTCGGTCATTGTCAGTTGGTGCAGCCGAGACTGCCTTCGAGGAGTGGATGGGAACTTTGGTTAAAATCGTGCAGCGAAAGGAGAGTTTGCCTGCTTTGTTCTCTGCAAGCACGGGAGCTGGAACTCATAAGTTCTCGCATGGTTTAGGGAGAGCTTTTGCTTCCCATGTGGAGAAGATGGCTGCGCCTTTTCATGAGAGTGAGGGGAAATCGGGTTTGTTTGTCGCGACTCGCGAGGATTTGGTTTTGTGGGTCGAGTCTAAGGCCTTTACAAGCTAACTGTGTTTGCTGTTATGAATGGCCTGTTGAAATTCGTGTGTGAGAGGTGAAAACGTTAAGAGTTAAAAAAATTGCAGTTCGAGATCTTTTACCTTTTGCGTGTTTTAGAATTTGGTGTAGATTCTTTGTTATAGTACAATGCTGGTAATTGAAAGTAATTTGAGTTTTGAGGCTGTATGTTTGTTACTCTCCGAATGTTGGGCTTCTCTGAATCTGTACTTTGAAGATTGTAGAATAGCATTCAAGCGTTTGTTGTAGTCTTTACGCGTTTACTGGGGAACTTGTAACATTTGCAAATGCTATATGTTTACGAACTTTCTTTTCTATTTTACCCTTTCTGCAAATTTGCAGGGGCTGCTAAAATCACATGTTGTACTTGGATTGATTGATCCTTGGAGAAGAGATGTAAAATCAATGCAATACGATACTTGGATTACAATCTAAAATGGCAAACGGAACATTTGCCGGACATAATGTGGTGAAAAAACAGTGGGAAGCACTTGACAGTGTTGGTATGATAAATGACTTGTGCTTTGTAAACATATAGAGCATGTTTGTTTATAAAAATTTTTGGTTTTGTTTGGATTTTTTTATTTTGTTTGGTTAATTTTGAAAAATGTGGTATGATAGTTGTTAGTTAGTATATTAAAATAATATGAAAAAATAAAATAATTAAAATTGATTTGATGTAAAAGTAGGAGATAGATATTTGAAGTGATAGTTAGTTAAAATAATGTGAGTTGATGAATAGTGAATTAAGGTTGATGTGGTGTGTATGAATGATTGATTGATATTATTTAATTATATTGATAATTTTGATGATAGTGGGGTTGAATTAAAGTTGAATTAAAAAAAGTAGTTGAGTTAAAATGTTGGAAATTTTTTGAAAAATTCCATAAACAAATATGCTTCCATAATATATTAAACATTTTCTTTTATTGAAGTAATACGATATTATTCTTTTAAAATGATATTTATTTATATTTTAATTAGTATGGTGTCAATCTAATAAAAGCAAATAATTAGTTATCCAAATTCTAAAACTTTACATGTTAATTAGTATGATGTCAATCTAATAAAAGCAAATAATTAGTTATCCAAATTCTAAAACTATATATATAGTTAAAAAAGAATATAGTTTAACATCGAAATTCTATAATTATATACAGACGTTTAACTATTATGATTAAAAATTATAGTTTGACAATTTAATTAAATTACAAAATATTTTAGTTTAAAAAAATTAAAAATAAAAGCTTTAATATTTTTTATATATTTTTTTTAATTCAACAGCCGTGTAATACACGGGTATTATATTAGTATAGAAATAAATAAAAAACTAAAATAAAATTAATTTATACTTCCATGTCATTGCTTCACATATAAGCAGAAAGATAGTAGAAAATTGTTGAACTTTACATGTTCGATTTACATATATGCTCATGACTTGCTCATGACTTGTCAAAGTAAAGACTTTTTGTGAATGGAGGAAAACAAAAATGAAAAAATAAAATAAGAAAAATCATTTTTTTTTTTTGTTTAATATCAAACCAACCTCATTACAATAATACTTTCGATTAACTTATAAATAAATTCAATTCATTCATAGATACTCTCATACTCATAGTATGTATCATTTGGTGCAATTCATGGTCACCTATTAATTATTAATTATGCTGTTAGGTTAGTTAACTTTTAATGATTTTTTAAACTGATATCATACTATAAAAAATAACACCAATAATGTTACATCTTAAAACATAATTATATAGTTTTATAAAACCAAANNNNAAAAAAAAAAAAAAAATGATGAATCCATCTGCTAACAATTAGACCGCCTACCCAAGAGCACGTGGGTGAGATGGTTGGGGTCTCTCCCAGCTTAACCAGAGGTCTCGAGTTCGAGCCCTGGGAATGCAGCTGTGTTAAAACTCTTGAGGTAGAGCTTTGCCGCCCTTGTGGTCCTACCCGGCTCGATTCCGGATTAGTCGGTCCCCTAGGGGATTCGGAAACCGGAAGGTTCATTGNCTGGTGCAAAAAATTTGCGTTGATCAACAAATTTCATACAATAATATGAACGCTTCTTTTAACAATTGGTGAAGCACCTGGTTTCAAGTTTTTGAATATTAAACAAGGAAAGAAAAAAGTGGCCTAAACAAGTCAAAATAGATGAAAAAGATGCGTGCGATGATGCTGATGTGAATCGGACTTTTGAGTAGAAATCGGATCGCGTAGATAATGGCGGGTGAAATGGATTCATGCATTTTGAATAGAATTAAACTATATATATATATATATACATAGATAATAAGAATTAGCATTTACTAAAAATAGAAGCAAAAAAATAGGTCAGAATTTAATGTAAACTATAAATAATAAGTTTTATTATTTTTCTTATTTTTTTCTTTAAAAATTGTACAATATTAAATGTTACCTTAAATTTCATGCTTTAGTTCATTTTATAATTTAAAAAATCTGACTAAGATTTATTAAGTGTGTATGTTTTTGTTTTTATTTTTTTCTTAGAAACAACGAACAACATTAAAATCTCGGTCTCTATATTTATAAAATCTCAATTCAAAATATAACAAAACTTTTAGAATCTCGGTCTTTATAATTGTGCATTTAAAAAAAATATTGAACCTAAAAATATTCTTTAAATTGCATAATCAATCGATTAATCTTAATTTTTTTAAAAATTACTATGTTTATTTTTTTTATAAATATGCATAAAGTAAAAATCATTAATTCATCTTTAGATATATAATTTATAATCTTAATATACTATCATTTGGTGTAGACATTTATTATATGAATCATAAAATATTTTTATTTTATAAAATTAAATATATTTAAAGAAAGTAAGAAAAATTATTCGGATCAATCGGGTGATTGAACTAGGGTACTACCCAGGTTGATTGAATTACTTTTAGGTGATATTTAAAATAATAAAAAAATTTGACACAAACTAAGTTATGTATCAGTTCGACCACACCAAATCCATTATTGAACCTAAATATAAAGTTTATATTGAAAATATTTTATTACGTAAATGTGATGTAGTCCAAACTTCAAATAATCGTATTAACAATACTTTTATGACAACATGTTTAATGATTTATGAATACTGATATATCATTTTATTAATATTTATGTGAATTAAATAATATTTTATTAATATTTATGAATGTATAGTAAATATAAGGTTTACAGAACTGGACCATCATCGAAACGATCAAGCTATTTTATTAAATCATTTGTGGTTTGTTCAGATTTTAATTTTTAAACATTTTAATATATATATATATATATATATAGTACTTTCTGTAATAAATTTAAATAAAATGTGTTACTTAGATATCTAAACAAATTATAAATTTAAATGTTTAGACTAATTGATAAATAATTTATAAATCTTTATTTTATTTAAATATGTAATTTTATTTAAAATAATTTTAAATATAACAAAATTTATTTATAAAATCATATCAATCCTACCAGTCCAACTGACTGGTATTGATGGACTTGAGAGCAAATATTTTATTCAAGCGAACTAGACAGGTTATAAACCAATTCTCAGTCCATCCGGTCGGAATGTGTCGAACCCGGTTTAATTTAAAAACAATTGATAAATCTAATTAATGTTATTTGTATATTTAATTTATAATACAATCGTAATATTAGTTTCCCGTGCATCGCACGGGCCACACACTAGTTAGGATAATTTAGATAGGATTAATCTAGATTAATTATGTTAGTTTCTTCTTAAATTTTAAATATGTCAGTTAGTTAGTTAGTTGTAGGTTTGAATATTTATATTTGAATGTTGTTTGTGTGTATTATAAATAAGACCTTTGTATGCATATTTGGAGAATGAAGTTTTATGAAATAAAGTTTAAGAAAATGCTCGTTTCCGAGTACTGTCTTAGTGAAAAACCGAGGCCGATACTGTAGGTTTTTCACTTATTAATGTGTCAACTAAGGTCGTCAATGCGGTGTTACACATTTTATCGTGTTCAAACTAAGGCCGTTAGCGCGAGTACTTACACAAAATCGAGTCTCGATACAAGATCTTCATTAGATGCCTCTAGAAATGGACCCGACTTTAATAAGTAACTAATTGTCTCCTCAAATTTGTTGAACTTTTATAAATATTGGAAAGTGGGCTATATTCTATGGAATTGTCAAGAGTAAAGGGTACGTAGATTTTATTTAAACATTTCAACAGAAGTAACATGACATATGCATGATAATACCAACTACTACTAATCAACATTTCAAACCCATTGAAAAATTCCAAATCCAATTCTACCACGCAATCTATTTTCCCCTATAAAGCTCTCCATTTATGTTTCACTAGTCACTACCCATCCAACAAATATTTCTCGAAAATAGTACGTATATAAAAAATAAGATGGAATTTCCCAAAATACCCCTAATCCTCCTCATCGTCCTCCTCCCCCTCCACAGCCGCGCCATCGTCTTCAACATCACCAACAACTGCCCCTACACCCTCTGGCCCGCCTCCGTCCCCGGCGGCGGCCGCCGCCTCGACCCGGGTCAGATCTGGACCCTAGACTTCCTCACCGGGCCGCGTCGGGCCCAGATCTGGGCCCGAACCAACTGCACCTTCGGCCCGAACTCCGCCAACGGCACCTGCCTCACCGGAGACTGCGGCGGCCGCCTCGAGTGCGACTCGTACGGCTCCCCGCCCCGCACCCTCGCCGAGTACGGCCTCAACTCGTTCGGCCACCGGGACTACTACAGCGTCTCCGTCCTCGAGGGCTTCAACGTGCCAGTCGAGCTCGCCCCGACGTCGAACGGGTGCGCCCGACCCGTGAGGTGCGCGGCGGATTTATCGGCTCAGTGCCCCGACGGGCTGCGGGCCCCCGGCGGGTGCAACAACCCGTGCACGGTGTACGGTACGGCGGAGTACTGCTGCCACGAGGGCGCGTGCCGGCCGACGGAGCTGTCACGGTTCTTCAAGGAGAGGTGCCGGGACGCGTTCACCTACCCGCAGGACGACCCGACCGGAACTTTTACCTGCCCCGAGGGGACCAATTATCGGGTCGTTTTCTGCCCCTGATATTTTGGATTTTTTTTTTGTTTTTTCTCCGTGAACTATTATAGGTTGAGGTTTTAAATTTTAATAATGATGATATTTTTGCAAGCAGATATTTTATGGTGGTAAAATAAACAACAAACTTGCAAAATTTTCAGATTTTATGTACCGTTGATTTGTATGCGTTGTCTTTTTTTAAAATTGTCTATGTTTTTTTTTTAAATTAAGGTATAATAGTTTTTAATAAATATATATATATATATATATATTTGTAAAAAGAGTATTTCGTTTTAATGGTGGGCCGTTAAAAAAATTATTGAATATTTTTTATTTTAAGAAATAAATTGGAGAAGACCATTTCTTATTACTTGGAAAAAGGGAATTGAGGTAATAACCTATAAAATTAATCACTTCAATGTGTGTATATATATAAAGTTTCAATGTCACTCTCCACATGGAAGAGGAAATTTCTTGTTCAACATAATGTATGACATTTCATATTATAAGTATTGAATTAGATTGTCTAATGATTCGACAAACATACTTATCCCGTAAATAGATATATTTTAAATCTTAATTGTCACTCTACAATATAATATTGACAAAAGTATGACTTTTCATGTATCTCATAGTGAGGGACGATCAACAAAAGTCAAACTTTGTTTGACCATCCTTATTCTAGGCATCGCCGTTGAGCTGATCATTTGATCATCCAAAACGTGGGAATACGGCCAGTGTGTCATTGATTGAGGTCTCACCCTTCAGGGGTGATTGAATATAAGTTATTTGGATTTGATTGAATTTGTTGAATAATCAAAGTTAATTTTAAAAAAAAATTGATTGAGTCAGTTTTGAGTTTGTATTAAAAGTATGAGATATGTGATTAAAAGTGACGTGTAATTAAAATTATGTGAGTGAATGGATAGTGAATGAAAGTTCATGTTGTGTGTGGGGATGATTGATTGATACTATTTAAATATATTGATAATATTGATTGAGGGTTGTGTTGGGATAAATATGAGTTAGATTTTAAGTTAAAAATATTATCTGATGAAAAGTGACGAGATAATTTATAACAAATCAGGCCTTAGAGTCATGAGCGCAAATTCCAATGGGTCGTACAAAAAATCACCAAAATAAAAACACGAATGTTATTCTTCTTATTATTCCAATAGGTCCTACACGTTTTCTAGGTCGATATGAGGCACTCAGGTGTCCCACAGTGCTGTTTTCCAGGTTCGTTCGGTTCGAGGTACGAGTCGATCAAGACGAGGTGGTTCAATCAATGATCTTGGTGGACCGATATTTCAAGTACATTAAATATAACTAAATAATATCAATCAGTCAGTACAAAATAATTTTCAACAAAATTTACTATTAATCAATTCACATATTTTTAACTACCACTCATTTTATATTATATATCTCTACTTTTACATTATATCAACTTCAATCATCACATTTTAACTCATATCCAAACACAAACTCAAAATTCAATCTAAAACCATACGTAATCATCCTTTTTAAATTTTATCTCACTTTATTCAATAAAAAAAAAACTTAGGTTTCATATCTCAATATTATATTTTTGGATATCCAAACAAATGTTGCTATATCTAATTTATTGATATTAAAAATAAATAAATTAACTAACATTATCACAATTTTGAATTCACAAACGTGTATTGATTAATATATTTTGATTTACTAGAACTAGATGGAATGATTTTTTATTTTTTTATTTTCTTTTTGCATTACTTAAAATTGACACATGTGAATCAGTAAAATTATATTAATCAATACTTAAAATTGGTAAGTAAGGAATGGCATACTTATTTTAAGTCAATACTTAAATTTGTGCGTTTATTATATAAAATCTCTATCGTTTTAAGAAAAAAAATCAATATTTTAAGTAAAGAAAATTAATAAAATAGTATTACTTAAAATTGACACATATGAATCATAATTATTTATTTAATTTTTAATAAATACTATTTTATTAATTTTCTTTTAGTTTTTAATTAATATATTTTATGATTTTTAACATTTTTTGTTATTTTAGTTTTTAAATATTATAAAATTGTACACAAAGTTAAAAAAAATTGAATAAAGAATGTGTATATCTTCATTGTGGAAATAAAATGTTTTTATAAAATGTTTTCAAATTATTCATTTGGTAATAAAATATTTGTAAAATGTTTTCATTTAGAAATAAGTTATCAAAAACAGAAAATTCTAAAAATTTCAAGTATTTAAAAGCATCTTATCATTACAATAAGAAACATATAAATATGTCTTAGCACAGAATTGAAAATGCAAATAATAGTAACAAATTATGAATTGAAAATCAAAATAAAAAATTTCAGATATTGATAGATCTGTATTGTAATCGGCCAATTTGGACTATTTAACTATGATTTCTTAAAATTGAATTGTAAATTCGGAATTATTTTGATGTTATATCTCTGTTTTGTTTGAATTTTTTTATTTTTCGAAAACATTTAGAATTTGATCGAAATATCTCGCCGGAAAAACAAAGAAAATAGCATGATTATGGCAGATATTGATAAGAAAAATGAAATCTTGATATATTTGACACAGAGAAAAAATGTGTGATCCGCCGGTAACAAGAGAGAAATGAGCTTGGAATGTTCGGATTGTATAAGTCGAGGATTTTGTAACCCTTTATTTGGTAACCGGTCTTACGTATTACATGATTCTTCTTCTTTTTTTTTTTTTGTTGAAAAAATGTATATTAGGTGCAATCTGAAAATTATTTTTTTAGAGTTTTACTAAATCGAGCTCATTAAACAAATAACCTTACTGATAATATTGACCAAAGCCACCTTTACAGATTTTTTTATAAAAAATTAAGCCCAATTTACCATTTTTTTAATTTGTTACCCAACCAAATTCAACAAACTGTTTATAATGCAATTATTTGTTCAGTAGATAATTTCGACCTAAATATTTATATTTGATGGCTATTATAATAAATTCGACACACATTTTATTATTCATTATTTGTTTGAGGCTACTGTTCAAGTTTCAGCGGACACCTTTTCCTATCATGGTCTCATATGCTATGACGATCAACAAGAGTCAAGACCAGTCTCTCTATCACGTCGACTTAGTCTTGACGAACCCTGTTTTAATTTTAATCATGGACAGTTGTACGTTGCTATTTCTAAAGTCATGAATCGAAAGAGTTTGAAGATAATGATATGTGGTGATGGTGATTCCGACGATATGAAACCATAAATGTTGTATATAAAGAAGTGTTTAATAATATTTAGAATTATTTTCTTAATTCATGTATTGTTTTATGAATTAAATTATGATTATGTATTTTTGTTTTTTCTTTTTATATTGTTATCTTTTCTAAGTATTCTCCTTCGGGCAAATGCACGGGATGATTAATAGTTTTAATTAATTATGCTAGACACCAGGGGAGGGAGTTGATATGCGTTATATTTACGTGCATTTTATAGTGATTTTCGTGTCCGTTCCGTCGAGTTTGATATATAATTAGTTATTATTTAATTAATTATTATATAATTAATTATTTATTTAATTAATTTTATTAAGCTATGATGAGGTGTTTTATTTAAATTTTGACAGAAAATAGGCTCGAATTATTTTTAGAGTCGAAAACGGCGAGAGAAAGATAGAAATGGAGTGCGAGCCATGCATTTGTACATACCCAACTACACAACCCACAAGAGTGTTATGACATCCCATTATTTGGTCTGTTGGGCTGAGAAACACCAGCCCAATAATGTCCATATAATCAGCCCAAAAAGAACAACTTAAGTGAGGGCACAAAGGAGAAAGGACGTTTCACCAGGGTCATCTTTTTCATCAAGCCATCATGTGCGTACGGCATACCCGCTTCCCACCATTGCTGGTACTTCATCACCTCGCCACCAGGGACAGATCTAGCTAGGAAAATTTTTCTGGAGGGGCTAAAGCGGTTATTGAAACCGGATCGTGTTTGCTCAACTCGTGACAGTCTGATCTCATATCATTATATATTTAAATAAACCAAACTAGAACTATTCAAATTTTCTTATTAAACAAATCAAGTATAGTGATGCTTACAGAAGCAGAGCTAGAGCTCATTTTTTTGTTTATGTATTCAATATTCGAGCTGATCAGACACATTTATTAACTGTCATAAGCTTAAACATGAGTTATTCAACTTGACTCGGCACGAATAACATTTCGAGGGGACTATATAATTTTTCATCTCTCTCTCTCTCTCTCACACACACACACATACACATAAAGGCGTAAAAATTTGTATTTTAAAATTATTGAAATTATTAATAAGTTGCATTACAAAAGGCATAACTTCTTAATTTTGGTAGTTTAAATGCTCAAAATTTTTTACACTCATGAAACTCATTGATGATTGGCTCGATATCAACACAAATACTATAATTGGTAGGTTGCCTAATTGTTAGACATATTTTCCTGCAAAAAGTGCATTATTAATTTTCTTTTAACTTAAAATTATGATTTTAACATTATTTGTTTATTTTAGTCTCTCTCTCTTTATATATATTATAGACTTGTACATAAAGTTTTAAAAAAATGAATAAAGAATGTGTATATTTCAATGTGGAATTATTTTATAAAATGTTTTCAAATTATTCATTGGAAGTAAAATAATTTTAAAATGTTTTCAAAATATTCATTTCGAAATAAGTTAAAAAGAAACAGAAAATTCTAAAAAATTTAAGTATTTAAAATATTTTTATCATTACATTAAGAAACATATAAATATGTCGGCACAAAACTAAAATGCCAAATAACATTAACTAAGTTATGATGTTGAAAAGTAACACCTAATTATTTTGATATTTGGATACTTAATAAATATTTATTTCAATATTTTTATATATAGAAAAGGATAGCCAAAAAATATAAAATATAAATATTTATTTCAGTATTTATATATATACAAAAAAAAAATTATATTTGTAAAAAATAACAAGTTGTGCGGGAATTATTTGATTCAAAGGAAGTGGGGGTAATGATGGGTACTGATTCAGGGGAAGTGGACCAGTGGTCTCGCATTAATTTACTACAATATTTCATTAAAATTATAAAGGTGTATCTAGCATACTACTATTACTAAAATAAGATATTTAAAAATTGATAAAAAAAAATTAACATATTACTAATAGTCATGATAATAAAATTTTTGAAAAACTATTTTTTAGTTTTTTTTATTAATTCTCAGGAAATATATTGAAAGAAAAGAGAAAAGAAAAAGGAAAAAAAATAGAATTAATTAGAGAACAAATTGAAACTTCAAAATTTTATTTGAATTCTTGGTGCTATGATGTTTTTTATTTTAATTAGACTAGTCCGTAACCCGTGCGAAAATTTGGAAGAATAATATAACTTCACGTGCATTATGATCGAAATTGAAATCATTAAAATACATAGGAACATTGTTGAATCATAAAGAGTTCGGTAACAATCATATATTGTTAAAAACCTCCTTGTACACAACATTATGAGTTTGATTATTTGGTGATTCCTTATTATCACAAACTAATATTTTCAAAAGAGACAAATCCTAAAAATCAAACTAATATTTTTGGTGAACAAACTAATATTTTAGAATTGGTTAACAATCTAATATTTTAGGATTTCTAGGATTTGTCTCTTTTTGTTGAACAAACTAATATTTTAGGATTGGTTATATTAATAAGGCTACCTGTTTTTGGTGTTCTTTTCATTCATTTTCATTCAAACAATCCGATGACTTGTATAATGAAATCTGAATCTTAAGCCGAAATATTTAAAAAAAGAGTTTTTAAAAATTGAAAATCAAGGCAATCAGTTCAGATTAATTAAAAGTCAAAGAATATCCGCTCCTTGAAATAAAGACGTGTGCTACCATTAACCAAATATTCGGTTATTAATATAGAGTGGTTACCAAAAAATAGAACGCCATAAGGACGGCTTCATGGAAATATCAATGGATAAGGTCATAATAGGTCGCTATATATTTTAACGATAAAAGCTCGGATGGAATGATTCATGATAATTATGTCGTAATTAATGAATTAATTAGATGTGTGAAAAGAACATAATTAATGAGAAGTGTGAAAAAGACATAATTAATGAGAAGTGTGATGGAATGATTTATGATAATTATGTCGTAATTAATGAATTAATTAAATGTGTGAAAAGAACATAATTAATGAGAAGTGTGAAAAGGACATAATTAATGAGAAGTGTGAAAAAGACAAAAACTTACCAGTTTTGGAAAATATTTAATGCAAATCCGACATTGACCATAATTTGACCTACTATTTTGGATAAATGTTAATTCTTATTATATAAGTATAGATGTAACTTTGTAGTACTTTCTTTCATGTCAAGTAAAATTCAGATCATACATACAAAATGTGTTCAAACTTTGTAGCTGTGCAATATCCTTCTTAATTTTAAGCTCTCTCGTTTGTCTTTCATCCAATTTAGCAGCAAAATTGATCCAACGATAAAAAAATAAAATGAACATGCAAAAGTGTACCATTGTACCACATCATCTGCAAAAAACACAACAGCGTTTTTACATGAAAATATGTATTGCACAACTTAGCAAGTACATATATATTTTGGAGGAAGCAAACATCCTACCCTAGTTTCTCCTCTATTATCAAAAGTCCAAACCTTTCTGTCTACTGGAAAAAAATAAATAAATAAATAAAAATAAAAAAAATCATTAAAAATAAAATAAAATAAAAGTCCTGAAAAAAAAGAAAAAGAAAAAAAATCCAAAACCAGTCACCCTGAAACCTACCAGACGTCATGTGCATGTAATGTAATCATCTATAAGTTTCTAACGGTTAAAGTCAAACTTTGTCTGGCCATCCTGGCAGCTCGGTTGACCATTGAAGCCGCCAAAACCCGGTGGTAAGCTCGTATTTCCAAAGGCAGACGAATTTACCGGCAACTGCTCCGCCGCACCTTGCTGCCCGGAAGATCCGCAGCTGGGGGCAATTTCGTCATTTCGTAAAATGTCGGGCAAACTGGATTTAGTCTCTGTTGGTCCAAAGATTCCATCCAACAAATTATTGTTACTATTGTTATTGTAAGGTACACCGAGATTCTTGTTGAAGCAGCCCGGGAATGCAGCCAATGTATCGTCAATCGAGATCTCACCCTTTAGAGTCTTGAGCGCAAATTCCAACGGGTCAGACCAAGAATCGCCAAAATCCAAAAAAAGCTTCGATTCTTGCTTGCTATTATTATTATTATTATTATTATTATTATTCTCTTCAGCCTTGGCCTCGGTTTTTGCTTCTGGAAAAACCGGGGCCTCGTTCGGAGGATTTTCGGTGGTCCCATTTGGAGGATTTTCGGTTTCTTTTGGAGTTTCAGAAAATGGAGGAATACTATTAGCAGGGGTATTTTGGGAATTATTATTAGCTTCTTCAGTGGCTGAAGCAGAATTGGGTGGCGGAGGGTCGGGTTCAGTGCCAGCGAGCCTCTTCGAGGCCCGTGAAGGAAAGATTGGATCTTTTCTTTTTCTGGGGTTTTTTGGGTTTGACCGAGGTTTTTTCTCGGTTTGTTTTTTTTCTGTCTCGGAGGACTTGGGAGTCTGCTGCTCGGGTTTTTCTTCAGGAGCTGCTTTATTTTCGGGTTCGGCAGTGCCATTGTTGTCACTGATTGTGTCGTTCGGTAATTTGGTGTCTGAATTTGCTGGATACATAAATACATTGGCTAAGAAAAAAGAACAGAAAAAAAAAAAAAGTTCAGGATATATTATTCATTGGCTAATGTAACTGTAAATATAATTGGAGTAATATAATGTGTCATTCTTACATCCGTCCGATTCTCCACCGGCAAAAGGTCGTTGGGGGTGTTCTGGTAATTTCTCGTGAGCAGCACTTGAAGACTACAAACAAAAATATTAACATTTCAAATATAACACAACACCTTTTATTATCTTCAAATGAAGTAATATGTTCTCTAACAATTTCCCCAGCAAGTGTTTTAATGCAGAAATGTTAGAAAGACAAATTATCATCATGGTATTATTACTATTTTGGACACGTTTGGTATCGATTATCAGTTGATAAATCGCAGCATACAATCTTCCAAGCATTTTTTACTTATACGATGTTCAATAGGAAACTTTGACTACTTTTCATCTCCTAATCATAAATCAGATTAATCCTGCCTCCTAATCAAACAAACCTGATCTGAGATATTCATTACTATATAAAGCAAAGAAAATAAAGCAATAATAAAAAGCTAATCAAACTATCTGTAGATGAGTGTGGCAAACTAAGCTGCTTTACTCACCTGGACTTCATTCTTGACCAGATTCATCTCACTCGACTCCCTTTTTCTTGGTCTGATAGCACAGTAACGAATATCATTGGTATTAATGAACCGCATTGCATCTGGTTTAGAACGAAACATGTAGCCACTGATTGGGTCGATATAGTACTGCAGATATTTAACAACCTTTCAGGATATATTCCACAAATCACCACAATCTATTGAATAAATAAATAAATAAATAAACATTAGATTAATTACCGGATCCTTTCTAATTTTACTCCCACATTTACTTGTTATGATTTCTTTTATCCAGCCTGAAGGCAGGTCATCAGCTGCAGAGCTTTCAGAGGCAATCTAAAATAAAATTTGAAGTCACCAGTTAAATCGTTTGATTTTTTTCCCAGATTTATAACTAGTTTTTGCAATCGTAGAAGGACAAACCGGTATGAAAGAGTTGGATTTCTTTTTCTTTCCATGAGTGCTACTACCAGGATTTGTCATGGACAGGCTTTGTGGAGATATGAGTGGAGATTGTTTGTCCTCTTTGTCAAGCTGTAAAAGAAAAGGGAAAAATAAAAATAAAAATAAAAAGTAAAACACGAAAGTTTCGAAGAATGGACAAAATGCAGTTTTGAACCCATCAAAGCACATACCGTCTTAGAAGGGCTCTCTTCCTTTCCTTCTTGAATGACACTTATGTTTGTGATGGATAGGCCATTTGTAGATGATTCGTCCACTTTACTAGTCTGAAAAAACCAACAGTTAAAACATCCAACAAAGAATAGCAAAATACAAGATACTTTAGATGATCGAGTTTTGAGCTCATCAAAGAACAAACCATTGTGTTGCTCTCCTCCTTTTTCTCTTTGTGAATTTCATCTGTATTTGTCATGGACGTGCATGATTGAGACATGCTTGGAGATATAGTATCAGCATTGTCACTCTGAAAAACGTAGAATAATAATAATAATCATAATCATAATCATAATAATAATAATAATAATAATAATAATAATAATAATAATAATAACAATAATAATAATAATAATAATAATAATAAACTTCAACAGAGCAACTTTTATATACAACAAAAAATTGATGGAAGCACGAAGGTTGAAAGGTTATAGAATGAAACATAAGGCTCAGAAAAAAGTCATCCATTAATTTCACACACAAATAATTAGATACTATTTTAAATATGCTTAAAAATATACAGTTAATGCATATCTCCTTTAGTGTATATAGTTTTTGTAAAAGAGTTTAGGTATCTTTTCAACAATTGCAAATTAGAAATGATAATAATAATATTATTATTATTATTATAATATCATGTTAAAGTTTTAAACATGTAGCAAAAAGGTATATCAAAACTCACGTTTTTTGCATATAACATCTTTGTTTGACTCAAAGAAATAAAAAGAAAAAGAAAAAGAAAAGAAAATGAAAGAACAAAGAAAAATGATGATTTAAAATATTAGAAACACAATGCGTACTTTAGTTTGTGTGGTCATGGTGACAGCATGTTTTTGGGAATTCAAGTATCGAGTGACGGCTACCCTCGAATAAAATATGTTTCCAGATGACACATCAGTATATACCTACAAAAAGATGGAAAAGCACACTAACGCAATAAGAAATCCGAAGGGTATCTTCAACTGCAAGTATGACAAACATATTTTCAATATGGTGGATTTAAGTTTGAGAAATTTCTTAGGAACTATGAATTCCACGTAGCACAATATCTTTCACTTCTCTATAAAAGAAAAATGTGGATTAAGTAAAGATGGAAGTTGATAGTAACAACGAATTTTTTTCTTTTTCTTTTTATAATACATTACAAACCTTGTACACTGATCCCTTGCGTGGACCTCTTTGTCGTTTTTTCTCCTCCATTTTCCATCCATCAGGCAACCATTTTGGTGAATCATCTGTTGTATCCAACTCCTGTGAACAGAACAATACAATCAAATAATAAATGAAATGGAGCATGCAGCAGAGTACATAAAATAAAACCTTTACTCTCAAAACTCACAGCTTCAACTTTGCCATTAGAGGAGATTTCCTTGTCTCCATTTGATATTTGACTTTGAGGCGTACCAATGAGCCCATTTTCGGCTGTAGCACAACTTAATACATCTTTCTTTGAATAATATTTTGTGCCCGTTGCATCATTGTAGTAGTACTGCGATCGGATAAACACAAGATGCATGCGTGTTATTTGATATACGATTTATTATCTTTGAAAGTTTAATTGCTCCTTTTCACATTTTTTCGAGTATAGAGACAAAAGAGATTCGTCCATAAAGGAACCGAAGTTTAAGGCTATGTCTGGTAGCCAAATAAGCTAGCTTATAGTTTATGGCTATGTTTGGTAGACAAATAAGCTAGCTTATAGCTTATTTGGTTAACTTATAAGCTCCTTGTATTCAAATAAGCCTTGTTTGGTAGGACGAACTTTTTTAAAAAGCTCGAGCGTATTTGATAAGCTTCTTTAGGTAGCTTTTCAAATAAGCTAGTTGAATTTTTATTTCAGCTAGCTTATCAGCTAATTTTACCAAACACTTTTATCATATAAGCTAGCTTTTCAGCTATAAGTCATAAGCTATAAGCAATAAGTTAAAAAATTACTGATAAGCTATAAGATAGCTTATCAGCTATCAGCTAGTTTTACTAAACATAGCCTATATGTAGCTTATAAGCTTCCTGTATTCAAATAAGCCTTGTTTGGTATGACGAGCTTTTTTAAAAAGTTCGAGTTTATCTCATAAGCTTCTTTTGCTAGCTTTTCAAATAAGCTCCTTGAAATTTTTATTTCAGCTAGCTTATCAGCTAATTTTACCAAACACTTTTATCATATAAACTAGCTTCAGCTATAAGGCATAAGCTATAAGCTCGAAAATCACATATAAGCTATAAGCTATAAACTAGTTTTACCAAACATAACCTAACTCTAACTCTGATCATTTTCTTTTCACTATATTGTTTATTACTTAGTTTTACTTTTACATTTTCTCATCTTTCACCTGCTTAACCAAAACATAAAGCTACACAATCAAATAGCTACAAGTAACAAACCGTCCACATACAACACCCATAGCTTCCATTTTTCTAAAAATAAATGTCCTTTACCGCCTATATAGAATATTTGTAATACGTAGCATAATCTCCGAACACATGTAATATCTTCAACTCAAATATCACTAAATGATTAAACATGTTGGCTCATTAAATGTAACTACGTGAAGCGTTAATGTGTAATTTGTTAAAGCACGTAACATGATCTCTATTTTTGGAAATGAATTCTAGTTAAACTCGGAGGAGATAACCCTATCACTTTCATTTCCTTAAACGAATCCTAGGCTGTTGGGGTTCTTACCATGATCGTACATTTCTATAAGGCCGGCCACTGAAAGAATAACGACCAGTTACGCATACAAGAAGAAATAAGAAACTTCTACACATTTATTAAGCTCAAAACTTTGCAACAACCCAACATTAACAGACCTCTATCTACAAGTTAAAAACAAAACCAATCTTGTTCTTCATTTTCAACATGCAGCCACTTAACAAGCTTATCACACACACGAATACTTGAACAACTCAATGGGAAGTAACAAATTCACCACTTTCATTCAGTTAAAACATAAGAACACAAGATCTAATGCAATTCTTACTCATTCAACCTGCCCAGCAATTTTCACCAACAATAATTCAAAAGCAACAAGCTTTANAAAAAAAAAAAGAGAGAGAACTGATTACCTTAATCTTGTTCCCATTCTTGTACTTCACCTTCTCAGTAAAACCGGAAGGAAGCCACTCCGGCGACTTCCCGGCAACCATTTTCCCCTGAAATCCTTAAAAAATCAAAACCTTTCTTGAATTATTAACAAAAAAAATCCTAAATAAGCTCCATCGATTTACTCAGAATTAGGTCAAGACTACAGCTTCTTAAAGAAAAACGAGACACGAAATGGGGTTGAAAAATAAGGGGCGGTGGGGTCTTACAGAAAACGGAAAGGAGCGATTCTTACAACACGTGGTGGTGCCGAGCAGCAAGGATTTTCTTCTCTCAAACTAAAGACTTCAGCTTTTTTCTTCCCATTTTATAGATTTTTTCTGCAAGTGGGGGGCTGTAAAAGAATTGGTGGTGGGTTTTGAAAATCGAAAGGAAAAAGGGGAAAGTAAAATGCAGGGAGATTTTCTTGCTCCAATGCAGATAATTTGCAGTCTTATTACAAATTATTAAAAGTTTCGGACCTTGATTTTCTGCACTGTTTTTCAAATTTTTTGCTACTTTTGTCATCGGTTAAACCAAAAAAAGCTACAGTGCGCCTAATTAGATTCATTCAATTCAAGTCAATATCTCTCTCTGTCTTTTTTTCTATTTTAGCTTGTCCCATTTCCATTGTAGGCTTTTTTCTTTGGGATAAGAGAGAACTGTTGAAGATTGATAATGGCATATTGGTATATGTATAATTTCATACTTTCATTTGACACATGCTCATCCGTATTTTTTTTTTATTTTTTTTGCGTGTTTATGTTTATATTATTATTTTTTAAATTATGACATCTCAATTTAAATATATATATATATATATATTTATTTATTTAAAAATTATTGACAACTAAGTACTACTTATAAAATCTTATTATTGTTACTATTCTTTTTTGTTATATTTGAACAACTCATTTACGGTTTATGAATTATTTTAATTAGTTATAATTAATTATTTTATTCAAATTTATATTACATTTATTCAAACCTATATACACACACATATATATATATAAACGGAATAGATTTGTAATATTAATTCGCCCTTTAGAACACTTTTTTTTTGTTTTGGAAATTCTATTTTTTTCAACATAAATTCAGCAGTCTTTCTTTGCTAAAATCTTGACATGACTTTTAAGAGTTTTTTTTTTACCAAATACGCTTCCCTAAAATCTCTATTATTGTAACATTTATTCATTCATTTTTTCTTTTCGAAATCATATATTGGCCAAGTATAATATACGGATATAATTCTAAAAAGCACATAAATTTTGAATTCGCTTTGAGATTTTTGGACAATGAATAATATACATAAATATAATTGTAGGTATTCAATTAATGTCTATNAAGGTACTTATTTTGCCATTTATATTATTTTTATCTCACTAATCGATTTTTTAATTGATAATTGATTTTAATGGCAAAGCGAACCCTTAAAATCACGTAAACAATTACTATCATGAAAGTAATAATTTAATATTTTTTTCAACTAACTTATTGTTCATGATCTCTTGAATTTTTTTTTTAAATAATTATATTATTCATTATATTTTTATACAATCTATTGATTCATACATAAGTAAATAATTTATATTTATATTGTTAGTGTTTACTAATGATCAAATTTATAAAGTGAGATATTAAATTATTTAACTTATCGTTATAAATATAATATATATACATATGTCTTATAACGATATATTGTAAGCAAAATATTGGTTGCAATACCTTTCATTTTCATATCGCCCTTTTCCGTTACTTTTACATATAGATTATATTTTTTCTAACACTCGCCAATCCTAAAATGTGACGTTAAACCACAATTAACAATCATTTTTCAGCTAACTATAGAAGCTAACCATTATATATTGTATCAATTTAAGTGTAATCATATTCTTTTAACTATTCTATTATCAGAGTACTAACTAATTATAGATATAAGGAAGTTACTTACTTTATCAAGAATTATATTGCAAAATTTCTTCATCAAGGTATGTATTCTGATAATAATATTACTTTTCTTAAGCACATTAAACGGTATTTATTTAAAATTTAATGTTAATGGCATAAAAAAAATCATTAAATCATGTAATAAAAAAATCACACAACAACAACAACAACAACAACAACAACAACAACAACAACAACAACAACAACAATAATAATAATAATAATAATAATTTCCAGCCAATTATGGTCACATTCTCAAAATTAAAACTTATATCATTTATTACAATTTATTTTTAAATATAGTGATCATTTTTACTAATTGCAAAATTTTAAAACTTGATACGATTGTTACCTAAATTAAAATTTTAAATATTATATACATTCATGTAATGTATAATATTTTATTTGTATTTGTGCATCTCCACCTCCTCGACTGCTATTGGTGGCTCAAAATAGTAAGTCATCCTTGGTCAAAAATATAAGTCATCCTTAGCATTTATCAAAAATAGTAAGTCATCCTTGGTCAAAATTGATCAACATTAATTACATGTCATTTATAGTATCTTTTCAATATTTTTTTAATAAAAAACGGACAACATTAATGTTGTAGCAAATTTTATTTTATATTTTTCCGAGCACCGAGTTAAAAACTCGTTTCCCGGGTCGATCTCAAGGACTGGTAAATCGAACTATATTATGTGTAATTCAATTTCTTTTATATATATATTAATGCAGAAAATTAATCCAGATTTTTGCTTGATTACAACTAGAAATTTACATAACATTACAAAAACAGAAGAAAGACATTAAATAACAGAAAGTCAACTGGAAAAGCAAAACAGTAAATAACAGAAAGTTAACTGGAAAAGCAAAACAGTAAATAACAGAAATAATTTACAATAGTAGTAATAATAGTAATAATAATATTAATAATAATAGTAATAATAATAATAATAATAATAATAATAATAATAATAATAGTAGTAATAATAGTATATAAACAGAAAGTAAATTGCAGAAAGTAAAGTGCAGAAAGTAAAGTGCAGAAAGTAAATTACAGTAATAATAGTAATAATAATACTAATAATAATAATAATAATATTTCTATATATATATATATGCGATAAGTAATTGGCAGGGAGTAAAGTGCGTAAAGTAAATAAAGCAATAAAATTACAACAGTAGAAATAAGCAATAACATTGCAGAAAGTAAAGTGCAGAAAGTAAAGTGCAGAAAGTAAATTACAGTAATAATAGTAATAATAATACTAATAATAATAATAATAATATTTCTATATATATATATATGCGATAAGTAATTGGCAGGGAGTAAAGTGCGTAAAGTAAATAAAGCAATAAAATTACAACAGTAGAAATAAGCAATAACATTGCAGAAAGTAAAGTGCAGAAAGTAAAGTGCAGAAAGTAAATTACAGTAATAATAGTAATAATAATACTAATAATAATAATAATAATATTTCTATATATATATATATGCGATAAGTAATTGGCAGGGAGTAAAGTGCGTAAAGTAAATAAAGCAATAAAATTACAACAGTAGAAATAAGCAATAACATTAAGCAATAATAGTTAATATTTATAACATATATATATATATATATATATATATATATATATATTAATAAGTATCCACAACTATTATTATTGTAGTAATAATATTCATAATCATTCCTTTAGGAACAATAAGAATAATTACGACTGCAATAACAATAATCGGAATATAAATTTATAACGTCTTAACGGAACGGAATTTACAGAATAACACTCGGATTTTAACTGGATAAACACTCGAATTTTAACTCACAACATGAAATAAAATTACACACACAAGTGTTTCAAGTACCAGATGAAAATAAAAACAAGAACAAGAACATCAAGAACACTAGAAAGTGTTTGTACTAATTCTAATATTTGTATCTAAGAACTAAAGCTAAAACTTCCTTTCCGAACTCTCCCCGGCTCTCCCAAAAACCTCTCCCAAATGATGTATTTATACTAGTTCAAGAGGGGACAAAATCACATCAAAATCATCTTAAGATCATTATGCATTAATGGCTAGCATATCTATCAAAAATCAGCCCAAAATCTTCCAAAATCCGCCCAACATCCATGTTTGAAAAGTGGGCGCCGCCCATGTTGAACAAGACTTGGCAGCTTGCGCGGTTTTACGGTTTTGGCTCGTACGGGCTCGTCCGGACTCGGAATTGAGTTCCGTTTTCTCCTACGCGTAGCTAACGAACCCCTCTTCAATTCAATGTCATATACTGGCCATAATTAGTTACAAAAGTTGCCCCAAAGTTATGCTGAAAAGTGGCCGCGGCGCGAGGCTTGGACAGCTTGCGCGACTTTACGGTTTTTTCTCGTTTGGGATCATTCGGACTCGAAATTTAGTTCCGTTTTCTCCTACGCGTTACTAACGAGCTCTTCTTTCCAGCTATGCTCAAAAGAGCAATTTATCTTGTAACTCAAATCTTCACGGGGCTCGATACCAATGCGTCGGAAATGATAACTCTCGAAAATCCAGACTTATTATACCTGAAATTACACCAAAAACCGGAAAAACACAAAAACACACAAAAATACACGAAAACACACGAAAAACCACAAAATACACAATAAACACTAGAACAACAAAAATAACCAAAAACAACTAAATGGACCGAAAGACCTTCTAAAAGACCTAAAAATGAGGGAAAATAAATGTAAAATAACAATAAAAAACGTAACAAAAATAATCACAACAATTAACTGTTTTCCTTAAAATGAGGAGTTTATTACTTTTTTTATTTTCAAAAAAGCGGGATGCTATTTAAATTTGGTCTTTTAAATATTTGCGATGGTTTGACACTATCTGCATATCAAAAGTTGATAATGCACGGGTTGCACCAATTAAATTTGGTTATTGGTTACAAGAAGCTATTTTTAAATTTGAATAAAAATGTACGTCACGACTGCTAATTCAATTAAATATCGGCCAATTATATTCTCCAAATTTAAAACCAGATATTCGGCTAATACAATTGCTTTGCTTGGCAGCTTTTTTTAATAAAAAAATTTACGACTGCTTTAATAACAAAAAAAATTATGTGTTATTTTTTCTAACTATAAATATATACTTTTGTATTTTTAAAATATCGAAAACTTTTTTTTCTATAAAATCGGCTAATACATATGTTTTGATTAGCAGATTTTATTTAAAATAAATTACGGCTAATTTAAGGGTAAAAATATATAATAAAAAAATCATTTGTTTATTTCTTATGAAAACATTTTTTCTAACCATCAAATCGGTCAGTTTCAATTGAAAGAATGAAGTTGTGGTTGATTCAATTGTTTTGTTTGACAATTATTTATAACGAAAAATAATACACGGGTCTAATTTTGAAACGATCAAAATTTTTATAGTCTTTGTTTAAATCAGATATTCAAAATAAGAATAATCTCCACATTAAATTGCTTTAATTGTAAAACGTGATGTATACAAGATTTAAATAGATTTATCACATATCATCCTCTAAATTAATAATTTTTATTTTTTCTTAAATTTCAAAATACCAAATCAAATTTTTATGGTCTTTGTTTTAAATCAGAGATTCAAAATATCTTAATCTCCATATTTAAATTTCTTTAATTGTAAAACGTGGTGTATACAAGATTT